ATACTCTGTCACAAATCATACATCTTCAATAAACAGCAAATAAATAACTAAGCTGTCAGTTCAAAATCCAGACCATTTATTTTTTAAAATTGTAGTTTCTAGCTATGACTGTGGATTTTTTTTTTTTACATCTTCATTTCAATTCTATTAGGTTTACTTGATGTCTTGTAATTTAATAATTATGCCATGTGCTTTCAGAACTGTAATGTCTTCCTGGTAAATGTTCCTTTATCATTATGCAATGTCTGTTCTCTCGCACTATTACTTGCTTTGACATCTACTTTGCCACATGTTCCCAGAGCCATGCTTTCTGTTATTACTTGTGGAGCATATCTTTTCTATAATTTTGCTATGATCCCAGAAAAAAAAAAAAGTCATGCTGATTTTGAAGATTGTGTAAGGTTAATAGACTGATTGGAATCTCATGGTCCTGGAGAATGTGAATGTTGCAGATCCAGAGACAGAGACAGCCTAACTTTAGTCCCTTTAAATTTATTTGTCACCTGTGTCTGACCTAACAACCCTTTTAAATATTAAAACTTTTTTACTGTATATATTCACTGTACATTCTACTGTGTTACATAGGAAACTTATAAGTATGTTATATACATACTTATACACATATATGGGTTTCTGTACACACACACACACACACACACACACACACACACACACACACTACATGATCTAACATCTCTTTGACACTCTGGTAAAACATTTGGAATGTATTGTTAGCTGACCACTAATTCCTACTAGTCCCAAAGCTCAGAACGTTATCAGACAACATTTAAACCCTGTAACAGTTTTCCCTACTTAGTCGCAACCCACCAGTTTGTTGTCTCCATCATTGTATTTGGTAAATGCTTTGATTTATGATTTTGTTCTGTGACTATAGGAGTTCATGTCACTACTTCCAAGATGGAACATGGTATTTGTGGCAAAATGAATCCATGCTTCTGTTTCATGGTCATGTATAGCTGATACTGAATAAATTGTTTCACTAGAGTGAAAACTATGTTTTGCATCATAACAATTACAGTGAACACAGAGTTTCCTTAGAAAATTAAAAACTAATATATAATTTATCAATCCCATTACTGTTCATATACATGAATGGAGTAAAGGCTCTGTTTCAAAGAGGTCTCTGCACTCCCATGCTCATTCCAACATTACACACTCATACACAAAGATATGGAATGAACTCATCCATGTATATTGATGGATGCAAACGTCACAGACAAATATTTTCATATGCATATATATTGACACACATGTGCAATAGCATAATACTCAGCATTTAAAAACAAGCAAATCATCTTGGCATGATAGCACACATGGCATTTGCTTGACAGAGGTAAGGAAACAAGTTCAAGGTACTATGGGCTATCTAGCCAGATCTTGTAAAACCATATATTCTTAAGAATTTGTTCACTCTTTGTTATTTTATTTTTTCCTTTTTTATTATCATTTATTACAATTTAGTCAATTTGTGTCATGGCTATGGTCTCCTCCCTCATCTAATTCTTTGTTATTTTAAATACTTTAAAGTCCAAAGAATTCTGCTAAAAAAAGGCAACCTACCTTGGTTTTAAATGTTAGTTCACATTTTCTATCTCTATAAATATTAAATTCAGTAACATATGGCTACAATTAAGCTGAAACAGCATGGGAACATTTACAAAATTATTATAACGTGGGTCTCAGAGCTATAAACATAAAAATAAGTACTCAAGAGAGTTCCAAAGAAATTTGTGTCTGTGTCCATGTTCATGCCCATGTGTGTGTACATGTACGTGTGGATGACTGTGAGAGAACATTAGTGCATGTGATTATGGAGGTCAAAGGTCACCCTTAGGTGTCATTCATTAGACTGGAAGTCTTATACCTTGTTTTAAAATTATTATTATTATTATCATATTGAATGGCAGAGAAACACTTAAAGGAATGTTAAACATCTTTAGTCATTTGGGAAATGCAAATCAAAGTGACCCTGAGATTTCACCTTACACCCTTCAGAATGGCTAAGATCAAAAACTCAAGTGACAATACATACTGGAGAGGTTGTGGAGAAAGGGGAACCCTCCTCCACTGCTGGTGGGAATGTAAACTTTTACAACTACTTTGGAAATCAATCTGGTGCTTTCACTGACAATTAGGACTAGTGCTTCCTTAAGGTCCAGCTATATCACTCCTAGGCATATAACCAAAAGATGAGAAGGTACACAACAAGGACATTTGTTCAACCATGTTCGTTGGAGCTTTATTCCTAATAGCTAGAAGCTGGAAACAACCCAGATGTCCCTCAACTAAGGAATGGATACAGAAATTGTGGTTCATTTACACAATGGAATACTACTCAGCAATTAAAAAACAAGAAAATCATGAAATTTGTAGGCAAATGGTGGGAACTAGAAGAGATCACCCTGAGTGAGGTATCCCAGAAGCAGAAAGACACACAGGATATTTACTCACTTTTAAGTGGATACTAGACACATAATATAGGATAAACATATTAGAATCTGTACACCTAAAGAAGCTAAGCAAGAAGGAGGACCCTTGATAAGATGATCAATTCTCACTCAGAAAGGCAAATGAGATAGACATCGGAAGATGGTGAAAACAAGGAGCAAGACAGGAGCCTACCACAGAGGGCCTCTGAAATATTCTACCCAGCAGGGTATCAAAGCAGATGCTGAGACTCACAGCCAAACTGTGGGCAGAGTGCAGGGAATCTTAAGAAAGAAGGGGGAGATAGAAAGACCCAAAGGGGTCAGGAGCTCCACAAGGAGAGCAAGAGAACCAAAATATCTAGGCAAAGGGGTTTTTTCTAAGGCTGATACTCCAAACAAGGACCATGCATGGAGATAGCCTAGAACCCCTGCACAGATGTAGCCCATGGCAGCTCAGTCTCCAAGTGGGTTCCCTAGTAAGGGGAGCAGGGGCTGTCTCTGACATGAACTCAGTGGCTGGCTCTTAGATCACCTCTGCCTGAGGGAGGAGCAGCCTTACCAGACCACAGAGGAAGACAATGCAGCCAGGTCTGATGAAACCTGATAGGCTAGGGTCAGATGGAAGAGTAGGAGGACCTCCCCTATCAGTGGGAATGGAAGGAGATGAGGGAGGGGGCTATAGCTGGGATACAAAGTGAACAAACTGTAATCAATAAAAAATAAATTTAAAATTTTTATTATTATCATATTTTTTTATTTATTACTATTCACTTTGTATCCCATTTGTAGCCCCCTCAGTCATCTCCTCCCAGTTCCACCTTTCCTTTTTTCCTCCCCTATCCCTAGTCCACTGAAAGGGGAAGTCCTCCTCCCCTACTGTCTGACCCTGGTCTATAAGGTCCCTTCAGGACTGCCTGGATCCTCTTTCTCTCTAAGGGGAAGAGATAGTCTCTAACATGAACTCTTACACATTGTTTTTTAAGACAGGGTCTCTCACTGGAATCTGGTACATTCTGGTTAGACAAGGCTTTCTGGTTATTGAGCACCAGAGAATTGTCCACTTCCACTTTTTCAACATTGGGTTTTCCTTTATGTGGGTTCTGGGGATTGAACTTAGGTCCTTATAGTTGTCTTCTGACTAAGCTATGGTCTCAGCCCCTATTTTACTTTTGGCTATAGTAAGATTCCTCCTCCCTAGATTTGTCAAAAAGAAAAGAAATGTAAGAAAAAAGATGAAAAATGATAATGAGTTTCAGGCTGGAACGATGGCTCAGGGGTAAAGAGCATTGGTTCTTTATCTTCTTTCCAGAAGATCCAGGTAAGATTCCAAATAAAACATGGCAGCTAACAACTGTCTGTTCCTGGGTATCTGATGTCCTCTTCTGGCCTCTGAGGGTACTACATCAATGAATCTTACGGTCAATATCTGAAACAGTGTGTCATTGAAATGGTGGCCTTTTAATTTCTTTCTTTTTTCAGTTTTTTGATACAGGGTTTCTCTGTGTAGCCTTGGCTATCCTGGACTCATTTTGTAGACCAGGCTGGCCTCAAACTCACAGAGATCCGCCTGCCTCTACCTTGGCCTTTTAATTTCCTCTGACATGTTTACTTATACTGCTTTGTAGAGAAAACTAAAGTAAGTGATGACAAACTTCTAAATGGCAATTACTTCATGTTTTTCCCTCAAAACTACTGAAAATGTCTAGGTTAGAAAATAATGCCTTGGGTGGGTATGTGGGCTTATGATATCTTGTAATATGCAGAAGGTTGAAGCAGAAGCACTCTTAAATTTGAGGCCAGCATTGCTTGCATATTAAGATCCTGTCTCATTAACCTAGAACCTTTGCTCGGACGAAGCTCGTGGTAGTTCAATAACCAAACCAATTGGTTTCCCATAGTAAGGGGAACAGGGACTATTTCTGACATGAACTCAATGGCGGGCTCTTTGACCTCCCCATCCCCCAAGGGAGGAGCAGTCCTGCTAGGCCACAGAGGAGGACTTTGCAGCCAGTCCTGAAGATACCTGATAAAACAGGACCAGATGAGAGGGGAGGAGGTCCTCCCCAATCCGTGGACTTGGAAAGGGACAGGGAGGAGCTGAGGGAGGGAGGGTGGGGTTGGGAGGGAATAAGGTAGAGGGATACAGCTGGGATACAGAGTTAATAAAATGTAACTAATAATAATAATAATAATAAAGTTTCACACACACACAAAAAGATCCTGTCTCAAAAACCAAAGTATCTGTCACATGTATCATCATTAATATTTGACCCTTTGTGGAAATCACTTTAGACAATTAAAAATAAAATAAGATTTATGGAATGTTTTCTTTTGAGATATATAACATGTGTGATAGCTAATGGAAAAATAATTCCCTAAAATATGTACTGATTTTCTAACCTACACACAATATTGTTCATTCATAACTTTGGCAGGCTTTACAATCATTAGTACACGCAACCACTTTGGTTCTCACTTTAACACACCTTCATCTCCCACCTCCATTTTCCTAGGAAAAGAACAGGAACCTAATCTGACAAGCATCATTACCTTTAAGTGATTCCCTACCACAGCATCATGTAAAGGCAAAATTCCATCTATATTTTCACAGTTCACATTTGCACCCGCTTTTAATAACTCCATAATTACATCCTCAAATCCCTTATTAGATGCCTCATGAAGGGGTGTCCAACCTGAAAAAGAGAAAAAGAAAACAATAATAAAGTTGCTCTATGCCTACCAAGATTCATGTAATATCATTAAGGGTGTCTTATGTTAGGAGACTCAATAACGCTACTGAAATACATGCCTAAGTGTTGGACTAGAAATAATTTTAAAAGTATTGCTTTTAAAATATATTTCCCAAGCTTCATTTTGGGAAAAAGTAATCTCTTCATAGACACTTTTGATTAAAGTGCCCAAACAGAAATAGGAGCGATGCTAATCATTTCAGCTCAGTTTTATCTAACTCTCATAGCTCAGATTTGCACTGTTACATTTCTATTTAAGGTGGCGTCTGACTCAGTAAATCTTTGCATTTCCTCTTTAATTATTTACAAGAGATTATTTTATGTATAAGCAAAATGCCACAAATTTGATTTCTAGAACAGGTTTAGAATAAGAGAGAAAGAACAGGAAGAGGGAGTCACATAAAGGGAGCAGAGAGGAAGAACGGACAGAAAGTTGGGAACATTTTGCATTTCTCCCAAGTCAGGGAATGGGTTTAAGGCTTCAAAGGAAAAGTCCAACTAACTCCCTTTACTCCTAACTCTGTACACCCTTCTGAATGTTCTTAGTTGTAAGAACTGTTTCAAAGGTGACAGTTGCTGAAACAGTGACAAATCTTATTCACCAAACTAAAAATGGTATAAAAATACAGTTCAAAGTTAGTTTAATATCAGCCAACATCAACACTGGGGCAAAGGGGAAAAAAATCAGTATTTCAGTGAGTTCAAATTAAAAACAATTAAAAGAACCCGAACCTGCATAATCTTTTAGATTCACATCTGCTCCAGATTCTATTAGAACTTTCACTACGGAAAGATTTCCTCTTCTGGAAGCCACATGGAGCTGGCTTTCTCCTTTGGCATTCCTCTTATTGATTCCAGCTCTGTTCACTTCTGTAATTGTAACAAGCAAATCTGAACAAAATGCTCACTGTTATAAAGGACCTTAGAAAATACAGATCTACTTCCTGATAATACTCTAAACAGGATGCACTACATGAAATATGTCATATTGCTTTTTTTTTTTTTTTAAGGAAGAGAGAGAATGTTTATTTTAGGTCAAAATTCTAGGTAAGAGACCTTCACCATGGGGAAGTCACAGAACAGGAGTTTGAGATAGTTTAAGATCTTGCAAACTGATTATATTTAAGTATGCAGAAGATATATAATAGATAACTCCTGAAAACACTGAAAATTTTCATGATACAATTGATAACTGCCTCCTGGATACCATATATTCCTTTACTCCATGCCTCATTTAAGGTGTTTATAAACAGGAGACACATCTGTTAATTTTCAGAGTTAGTTCACAGTAGGTGAGAATTTCTTTTTAAAGTGGTGTCATAATTTCTTGGGCATAATCAGTGGACTGGAAAAATTCTTTACTGCTTTTGGTTTAAGTCGCATCTTGAGAGGAAAGAATAGAGGTTTGCATTCATTCAAGCAAATACTCGGCTGAACACTTGGTTCAATTCCACATTCACCTCACTCTCAGCGGTCCTTTAACAATGGGGTAATTCTTTCTCTTCTTTTTTCTTCCCAAGAGAGGGTTTCTCTGTATAGCCTTGGCTGTCCTGGACTCGCTGGCCTCAAACCCACAGAGATCTGCCTGCCTGTCTTGCAAGTGCTGGGATTAAAGATGTGTGCCACTGTGCCTGGCAAATTTTTCCTTAAGACAACCAAATTCTGGTATTATGGAAACTCTTTCAGGTTGCATGTACTAGTGCATGCATGGAATCCCAGCACTCAGTTGGGAGGCTGAGGCAGGAGAATCTTGAGTTCTAGGTGAATCTAGGCTATGAAGTGAAACTATCTCAAAAATAAAACAGAATTCCTCTTTCTACAGCTGTTTCTCAATGTGCATGTTCCTACCACATATGGTGCCAAGTAGCAAACTGGTCTTTTGGGTTGTTTTTCTTTCATAGTACACAAAATCATTTTCCAAAGAGTCCCCTTTACTAAAAGTCTTTTCTTTTCAGAGAGATTAAGTTGGAACTAAAAACAATGAACAAACCATGTTTTTCCTCATTTCTTCCTCATACTCTGCTACATTACAGCGATGGGTATTTTTTTTAACTATAAAAGAAAATACAGAAGGAAAGAAAAGAGGATAGACTTGAACAAATTTGGGGTAGGAGAGCTAAAAAGTCACTGTTGAAGAGTGAACTGCTTTAGCAGACTGTGGGATGTTCAAATTCAAGTGCCTGCAAAGAGAATTATGGGGGAAAAAAAGCCTATCTGATCCCACGAAGCCAGCACCTGGGGCCATTGGTTGCAATGGAAGAAATGTGTAGACACAGAAAAACTGACTGACAGCTGACAGAATAAAGTGGGAACTCTGAGCTCCCTTCTCCAACTATGAACTGAATGGCAACCATTCACTTTATCTTATACTCCCATCCAAAATCCAGGAACCTAGAGGTTCATTTTCTGCATGAACCACATCACAGAAGATGAAGACTGAAGCAAAACAGAGGGTTAGGGTAAGAAACAAAAGAATATTCTTTACACCAACAGCATGAGTACTACCTACAAAGGCAGACTCTTCAACTCGAACCTGCTCTAAAGATCAAACCCTAAAACCCCTTAAGAACCCCCAACTTCTAATGTTTGTGGTTTTATGTAACCCTTTCTCTCTTGAATAATTTTCAATATTATTGAAAATTCAATATTGAATAATACTTCAATATTGAATGTATTTAACTTCTCTGATTAGGTCACTGAAGATTGTAATTGGAACTGAAGCCTTCAGTACAATCACATTCAAAGAACTGAATTCTGCAATCACATTATCTTAAAGTCCTTCCTTCAGGTGAGGAAGTCCAGCCTTCAGGTCAGAGCTAGTTCCAAAGAGCACCTCTACTGAAGCCTATTAAAATCACTGTCAAAGGACCCAGTGAAGTGGTGCTCAATTCCTAATCTATGGAAGACAAATGTGTGTTGCTTTAAAGAACTATTAAATTTGTGATCATATGCTCTTATCAACAGAGGCAACTAGTACACTTAACTGAAGCAGACTCTGAGGCAGGACCAGGCAATTTATATTTAACAAGCTGACCACATGATTCTGATACAAGCTATAGTTAGAGAACCACTGCATTAAGGAGGAGACCCTTCCTGCCCTATTTGCTAAATATCAGCAACCAAGTATGTAACTATGGTAACAGACCAAAGCCTATTCTCTATAAAATGGATTCTGAGTAACTTGAATTATAATAACTTCAAAGCTATTTTCGTATGTGTGTGTATTGCATTCATGCTGGTGTGTACATGTACACACTGTGGACATGCCTACTACTGTAGAGCAAACACTGAGTGTTTGTCTCTAACAGTTTTTGCCTTATTGCCTTGACAGGGTTTCTCAGCAAAACAGAAGTTTGCCATTGCATAATCTGGCTGACCAGTAGATTCTTGGGATCTGCTATCTCCATGCCTAATGCTAGGGTTATAGAAAGTGCAGTCATGCTCAACTTTTTACACTGGTGTGGTGCTTCCAACTCAGGTGTTCCTGCTTGCAATGCATGTGCTCTAACCCACTGAGTCATAGCCCGGTCAGCCCCTTCACAGATATTTTCTAATGACATCCAGACAAAAAGCAAACATACTCCTTTTTGTGTATTCACAATTCTTTATTGGAAAAATACAAAGAGAAAGGTAGAGGTATCCAAAGAGACTGAGACAAAATTGTTAAGTATAAAGCATTTAAGGTAGTGGGCATGCAAACTAAAAATCTAAAGTGAAAAATATCTCCCGATAGTTCTTAATGTAGATTGTACAAATCCTAGTACGTTGTTCTTGGTGTGTACAAATGTAGCAAAGAAGATATCGACTAGCTGTGATACCTATGGGCTACAACGATGACCAGAAAGGTAGAATATTCTCAAAGGTGCAATAGTGGGACTTATACTCTGGTAGTAACCAAAAGCTGTCTAACTGGACTCAATAGGAGGGATTTATATCTAGAACTGTAAGCCTAGACAAGGACCCATGACTGGTATAGTCATGAACCTAGAGGAGAACCTACTACTGCCACTTTCTCAAACCAGTATAAACCTTCTTTATTCTTAACACGTAACCTTATACTCATAGGTTAGTGTAGCTCTCATTCCTCATCAGAGATGCTTCTTTTTGCAGCAGACAGAGACTATTATAAAAAACCTTGAATGGTCAGAATACAGAGAACCAATGGCACATCTACAATACAACCCTAAAATCTAAGGTCCAGGGAACTGCATAGAAGAAGAAAGACTGCAAGAGCCAGAGGACTAGGATATCTGCTGTGACATTATATCATCTATATACGACAAGGGAGCTGCAGCCACGAAATCTCAACAATATGATTGCTTAAACAAGATGCAAATGAGAACACAACATAACAACACTGATAAGGGAAATTTCACAAGATCCCACCTCCTAGGTGAAGAGCTACAGGAAAGCAGTGACTACTGAGAGAGGAAGAATTAGTCTTCCCAAGGGATAAATAGATTCTGATTATCTAATATCAAGTGGTCATCACTAAAAACATATACATACAAGCAATACTAGGTGGTCTCACCAGGTTGTATTTTTATATTTATTTGTTTCTATATGTAACAACAATAATTAATGAAAAAATCATGAATTTGAGAAAAATAAATAAAGGACTGGAGGGAGAATGATGCACATACAATAAACATACACAAAATCTTAAAATGTGAAAAATTGAGACAAAAAATTACTCAGTGTTACTATCACCATAAATCTCTACAACAGTTAACTGCATGTTTAATATAATCTGACACAAATTCTAAAGGATGCAAATGGTACTTATACTACACACCCCCTTAAGATGCACTGTCGTCTGGAAATGATGTGATTATTTTATGACAAATTAAATCTTGGCTGAGTAGTTAACTCTGCAGGATATACCGCATTCTCAACATTGTGCTAGTCAATATTGATTGTCAACTTGACTGGATCTAGAATTACATAGAAGACAAGCTTCTGAGCATGTCTGTAAGAGAATTTCTAGAGTGAGTTAATTATGGTGAGGAAAGTCATCCTAAATGTGTCCATATTATTTCACAGTCTGGTTAAAATAGAAGAAAGGAAGCAGAGTACCAGAATGCATACTTCCCTGCCTCTGTACTATAGACACAATGTGGCCAGCTATTTCATGCTTATTTTGCTATGGCTGCCCCACCATGACATGGATGGATGGATGGATGGATGGATGGATGGATGGATGGATGGATCTTTATTTTTGAACTATAAGCCAAAATAAATTATTCCTCCTTTAAGTTGCTTCTTTATAGGTACTGGTTCAGCAATGAGAAAATTATCTACTAAAACAAATTTTCAGAGTTGACTGATAGTTCAATGGTATAGTCTCTATCATAGAGAATGCTACTTCACATATATACCCAGTACAAATGGTAGAATTATGTTTAGAGCCATTTAGAAATTTTTAGAAATTCTGTCCTAATCCCAAGTCAAAATACATTTAGTTGTTTCTCTTATGAAAGTCAAGTCAGCAATTCAAACAGTAATTTTTCAGATCAAACACTGTAATACAATAAAAGATACACTACATTAACATTTACATGCTGAGTAATTATGGAAGGAAAATATTCTTTGTTTATCATAGTTAAGCCATCAGCTTCTGTAAGAGCAACAGATTTTGTAAGTACAGTGCAAACACACTGAAACTCATGCTATGCAATGGTCTTGGATCTGAGCTGTGTCAGGCAGTGCTCATTGGCTCTCTGGGGCACGAAGGTGTGGCTAGCATGTACAACGCTAAAGGCAAGCTGTGTGCTCAGAAGTAAGGCTGAACACTCACTTATGAACTTGCACGACACGACACAAGTAAGTGCTGTCACAAACACCTTAGAGTCATTTCAGATTAAAACCTTTTAATATTGCCAAAACTTCCACAAGCTTTCCCTTCAGTTATGTGACCCTTTTGAGGTACCAACCTACAGTTTTAAAAGCTGTATTTCTAAGGAGATTTGTGAAGCTTTATCAACTACCCTGCATCTACTTTCTGCATCACAGCATCTATAAATCCTTTCAGTTTTTTATGCAGTTACATCTAGGGTCTCATCGTATGGCCTGGCTAGACTGGAATTCACTGTCTAGACCTGGCTCTCATGAGCGCTGGGTGAAAAGACGTGTACTATCACTCCCATCATCACATTTTTCTCTTTTTAAAAAATTATTTACTTATTTTATGTATGTGAGTGTTCTACTGCATGTACACCTGCATGCCAGAAGAGGGCAGCAGATACCAGTATAGATGGTTGTGAGCCACCATGTGGTTGCTGGGAACTGGACCTTTGTTAGAGCATATATCTCTCCAGCTAGCCATTACATTTCAACATGTAAAAACTGTATTCTCTGATAGTTCCTTCCTTTCTTCACTTAAAAAAGTAAAATATTCTTGAATTCTATTTCTTCTGGGTATCTTTGATCTGAGTAGTTTAATTTGATGTCTCTTGCACATTGGAACATTTCATAAATAGCTGTTGATCCTTGTATTTAATTGAGGGAAATTAAAATACAGACCGGAAATCTGTGGTTGGCAGTAAGAATGCAGTAGAACTGAGGGCCTGCTGCCATGGTTGGGAGATAAGCTAGTCTCAGAGAACTCCTGATGTCAGTGTCTAGAATTCTCAATCTTCTGTTCAAGTTGGTTACAGTTTGGTAGAAGGACATGCAATACACAAAGTTCCATTTAAATATGATTAAGTGCTACTAGGGAACTATGCCAGTTTATTGGATCAGCTCTAACAACCTATAAGCTGGTTAGGCTTAAACAATAGAAATTTGTTCTGCAACCTGAAATCTAAAATTAAGGCACCAGCATGGACGTATACTAGAAGCTCTAGGGTACAAGTCTTCCTTGCTTCGTAAGCTTCTGGTGGCTGCTGACTTTGCCAGCTTGAGGCTATATGAACTCCTTAACTTTATCTTCTAGGTGTCTCAAGTGCCCCTCCATCTTTCTCTTATAAAGAAACAATTCATTAAATTTATGGTTCCTCTAGATAATTCAGAATAGTTCTACCTTAAAGACCTTAATTGGATTATTTATGTAAATATTCTTTTCAAAGAAGATAATAATATTCATTCTTTTACCACAGAGGTGTTATTCACAACTTTCAGAGTCTACTATAGAGAGTAGACTCATTATGGAAGAACCACCATTCAATCCAGTCTAGGAAGGATGCCCATAAAGGTCTTCAGTTTACATAAGAGAAGGCTCACAAGGGAAATGTCTTGTCCAGCACCTTCCCTACCTCATAACAATATATGAATTGACTTTTCAGTGCTCACTTAAGGTGTCCAGGCTGTTGCTCACCACAGGGTTAGTTCTAAAACCACTAAAAAATGGTTACTTTGTCAGACCCAAAAACACTGTGCCCTTACTTCTTTAATATTCCTTAAATTAAAAGGGTGAAATGGTTGTGTCTTAAGAATTTGAGACATTACATATTGCTAGTTCTTCCACTCAATCTTCTTTTTTTGTTGTTTGGTTTTGTTTTTAGACAGGGTTTCTCTGTATAGCCTTGGCTATCCTGGACTGGCTCTGTAGACCACACTGGCCTCGAACTCAAAGAGATCCACTTACCTCTACCTCCCCGAGTGCTGGAATGACAGGCGTGCACCACCGCACCTGGCTTCCACTAACTATTCTTGCTATCTGGGCTGTTTATCTACTCTAATGTAACAACTGAAAGCCACAGTCAGCAATATGACAAACACATATCTGGAGACCACCAGATATTCTCAAGTGGATCTTTAACAACAGTGGCTGAAATAATCTCATAGCTAAAGGAATGTGCTCCAGCATAAAAATCAAACAGAACCCCCACCAGTTTAATTAAACATTTAAGAATTCTTTGAAATAAAGCAAATAATGGAGCTTAATTACAAAACTTTGACACAAATATTTATACAAACCTTGGCTGCAGTGAGCTTTCAGAGAACTTTTTGTTTTTCTGGAATTCTGGTCTTTTCTGTGTTCTTGTGCATCACAAAGCATTTGAGTTTCACAGTCCATCTTTTCTTTTTTCTGCTTACAATATTTTACATTTTTTTCAGCTCTACTGGCATTATTAGTTACATCTTCATCTGAAACAACCATTTATATTATTAGTCTTATAGTTACATGACAAGAAAATAAAACTATTCTTCCAGTTTCTGTTTCAATGAGAGGTACCAATTTTCTGCTTTACAAATGACATTATGAATACTAAATATGAATAGTAAATTAGTTTGAATAGTAAATTGGTGCCATATTAAAAAGGTATAAAAACTGGCAGACATGTTCACTAGCTTTCACTGGTAGCAGCTTAGTAACCTTTGTAACAACTGTCTGACTTTCAAAGTAACTACTAGGCATGTCTGGCTAGCTCACACAATAGAACAAATCAGGCCTCTCAATTGCAAATCAAGCACAAATACCTTACTGAGCTTCTCAGCTTCCTAAATCATGAACCCCATGATGGCCTATGCTTTTCAGCTGGGCCACAGGGTAAGTAAAATTCAGTTGTGAATTTCTACAGGAGGAAACCTATAAGAAATGTACAAATTGAGAAATACTAATACCTGATTTGTGAGGTTTTTCCTTTCCTTGATTAAGTTGTAAGGAATTGGCCAATTCTTTATTCACATTGTCAGGAGAATGAAAATCTAAATTATTCATTATCCCTGGAAGGTCTGGTCTCCTTTTCTCACCTTTAGTTATTTCTATTACTTGAGAATGAACAGCTGTGGGTAAAGGGCTATTTGAAGAACTTGGTATTTGGCCTTTCACGGTATAATCCCTTTCTGTGTCTTGCTTCTTTTCCACATTTTGCGTATCAGCTTGATTTACTAAAAGAGTTGGGACATTATCCTGGAATGCTTTTAATAGCTCCACTTCAACACTCAATGGTGAAACTTTCTGCGTTGAAGGCAGTCTTGTACAAGGCATTGAACTTTGCTCAGTATTGTCAGAGGAGTGATCAAAAGAAGTTCCATATGTACAATTTTTATTAACTGGAATATGTTTTTCAGAAATTAGTGTATTATTTGAATCACAAGAATTAAAAGCTTCCCTTTGTGGTTGTGTAGTTAGGCCACCTACTTTTAGCTCATTTTCCTGTGAAAAATAGTTTTCAGAAGATAAGTGTTGAGAATCTACTTCTCTCTGTGTCAAGCGTTCTTCATGATGACAGTGGTCTGTGCCCTCTTTTTGAGATGTTACAGACTTGTCAGAGCTGCGGCAATCATTATCACTGTCACTGTCAGCAGAGCGTCCCTTTATGAAGGAGAGGAAAGAATTCTCCCATTTATTACTGCTCTTGTCTTTCTCATCGGAGCTATTGTTTTCAGGGGACTTAAACGGGCTGCTGCTTTGTGCTTGGTTAGTGTGAGGTTGTTGATCTGTAGTTACATGTGGTGATTTTATTTCTTTATATGATGAAAGTTCAGAGAAGGAAGCAGTTTCAGTTTGATCAACGGACTCTAATTCCAAGAACTGCATTTCTTGACTATCTGATAAATCCAGGATTTGTGTATTTGACTTTTTAAAAACCTCATTGTTACAAAACCCATTTTTCAAGCTTCGTAGAGTTGGGGTAGAAAGCTCACATGATTCTTCTGGAAGGTCATAAAGAGTCTGGACAGTATGTTGCTGCATACTCCCAAAAGAAGAAATAGCTATTGCTTGACTTAAATTGCAGTCTATATCATGTACTTGAGTCCTTATATGTTGCATATTTCTTTGTCCTTTATTTTCAGACACATTAGTTCTGCTATCTTTCACATTATGCAGATTATTTCTTCTAAGTTCTGTAGAGTCTACTTGGTTAACAGTTGATCGCCTAGGCTTGGAATCGCCAAAGTTTGTGGTATTGGAAATTTTCTGGCAATGTTCATGTACATATTCTTTATTTTCAAGTAAACTGTTGCTTCCTTTATTGAATTCTACATGTCTTGGTTCCTGTCCATTAATTTTTTCATCAAAAATAGACTCAGTGTAATTATTAAAACTTAATTTTGGTTTCTATAAAAAACAAACAAAAAACCTGGTTAGCTTTAATTTCACATGTAGATCTATAGTTGAGCATGATTCTACGTCAGACACTGTAAAGGCAGTGTTACAGGACTATATCCTTCCAACTGTCACATAGTAAACTAAGATTACGGAAGTCTCTTCCTTTGCCATCTTGAAAAAACATAGGCTGGGCAGTTGAAGATGTGATTTAAATGCTAAAAGACAGATGACTTCTAAAATGGTTTCTCTGGAAACCTGATTGTGGGATGCTAAGATTGAAACCAGAACACTGCTTCTTACTGGACATGACTTTAACACCAGGTGAACAGTAACCTCCCACAATGTAAAATTGGATTCACAACTGTAATTCTTGTATTACACTTAAATCAGAAAAATTTTGACATGGTTGATAAATCCCAGGACCCATAAAGAGCAACAGAAAGAAAATGACTTACAATACATTTCCCCTAGTATGCTATACTTACTTAACTAAGTAAGTAAATTACTTAACGAGTTAAGTAGTTACTTAATTACTTAACTAAGAGGCTGGAATCTTCTGCTATCTCATGCAATTATTCCAAAGTGTCTTAAACTAAAGGTGAAGTCACTAACCTAAGTATGCTTCACCAGTCTTTCTTTCCCTCTGGTAACCTATAAGAATAACCAGCAGGTACAGACCTTCACAAATGTTCATTACTAAGTACAGATATACCTTGTACTGGAATACATCTTCTACATATGCTGGGCCAGTGCTCCTCCTCCTGTGAGCTACAGATAAAAGACAAAAACAGAAGGAAGTAGCTTCCAGTAGTTAGACCTGAACGTCTTTTGCCATGAAAAATACTAGAGGGTGGGCCAGCAAAATGGGCCAGCAGGTTTGCACACAGGCCTGATGTCTTGAATTCAATCCCTGGATCCCACAGATGGCAGAAGAGAACTAACTCCCCAGAGTTGTCCTCTGCCTTCCACATATCCACCTGGCATTCTCACTCCTGCACTTATGTACATGAACATACAAACACATATGCACACTCAAAATAAATAAAAATTTTGACTAGAGGGGACATGTGAAATCATGTAAATGTTTCATATTAAAGTTGGCACATACATGGCTACACCATATCCACATTTATTACAAGTTAAGTATTATTCTGAACAATAATATTTCTATTAAAAAAGTAAACAGATCTGACAAAGTAACTATTAATAGAGATGGGCACCGAGTATCATGGGCTGGTAAGATGGCTCAGTGAACTTGTTGCCCAGCTTGATAAGCTGAGTTCCATCCCTGGGTCTCACAAGGTGGAAGGAGAGAACTGACTCCTATAAGCTGTCCTCTGGTCTCTAGACACATGCCATGGTGCACACACATATCCATGCATGCATGCATGTGTGCCCGTGTGAACACACACACACACACACACACACACACACACACACACACACAGTAAGAATACATAGCAAAACCATATTTATAGACTACATAGTAAAACTAAAAAAAAAAAAAAGGCAAATTGGCCAAAGGGAATGTAAATTACCCAAAATTATCCAATGTAATAAAATCTGTCAGAATGAGTTAAAACTCATTAAAGTTGATAGAAATCAGCAAATACGTTTCATAGTGTGAATGTTCTTGATTCCTCATCCTTATAATTTTAAAAAACAACATTCTTAAGGGATGGACTTACAGCTTAGGGGAAGAGGGTTTACCCAGCTTAAGTTTGATCCATAGCATTTCAAAGCAAAACAAAAAAATAAAGTCCTCTTTAACTGAAATTTAAAATAAAGTGTCTTGCACAAGTACATCTCCCTCTCTTCTTTTTTGTTTGTTTGTTTGTTTGTTTGTTTTCAAGACAGGGTTTCTCTTTGGCTGTCCTGGACTCACTCTGTAGAACAGACTAGCCTCAAACTCACAGAGATCTGCCTGTCTCTGCCTCCCGGGGTGCTGGGATTAATGGTGTGTGCCACCACAGATAAATCCTGTTTCAAAAAACCAAAAAGAAAGAAATATTGTTGGAAAGACAGCAGCAATTTGTAAAATATTTCTTGTTTGCTTGTGTTTTGAGACAGGATCTCTCTAATATAACCCTGGCTGTTCTGGTACTCAGGATGTAGACCACACACAGGCCTCAAACTCAGAGATATGCCTGCCTCTGCCTCCCAGGTGTTCAGATTAAAGTTGGGCACCACAACACCTGGCCTGCAAAAGGGTTTCTAACTATTAACAATGCCACAGCTGGAAGAAAAGCAGGATCTTTCTTTTTTTTTTTTTTTTTGGGGGGGGGGGTCCTTTTCTTAGGTACAACTAACTGCAAACAAGAAGTTTTAATAAAAAGATTGGAGCAAGGAGACCAACAGAACAAGATCATTTGAACACAGGGAACTTCCCAGAGACTCATACTCCAACCAAGGACTATTCGTGGAGATAACCTAGAACTCCTGCACAGATGTAGCCCATGGCAGTTCAGTGTCCAAGTGGGTTCCATAGTAATGGGAAGAGGGACTGCCTCTGACATAATCTGATTGGCCTGCTCTTTGATCACCTCCCCTTGAGGGGGGAGCAGCCTTACCAGGCCACGGTAGAGGACAATGCAGCCAATTTTGATGAGAACTGATAGACTAAGATCAGAAAGGAGAGGAGAACCTCCCCTATCAGTGAACTTGGGGAGTGGCATGCATGCAGAAAGGGGAGGGAGAGTGGGATCGGGAGGGGAGGAGGGAGGGGCTTATGGGGGGATACAAACTGAATAAAGTGTAATTAATAAAAAATTTAAAAAAAAAGATTGGAGCAAAGACATTACTGATTGTACTTTCTCAAAACTTGTAGGAGAAACTAATTCAGTTTCCACAATTCTAAATTCAGTTTCTATAAATTCTATCAACACAACCAATAACTACAACAGAGTGGTTCAATCTTAAATGATAGGTGATATCTTTATGTTTAAGAATATTATTTCATAAGGAGATTCCCATAAATAATCTTTGGCCTCATCCAAAGCACATGTTCCATGGTCATTTTTAAATAATGAATCAACTCCATTCAGAAGAATTAATTCTGCCACCTAGAAAAATATTGTTCATATAAAGGAGCCCAGACAAAGATACATTATTTTAAATGTGTGCTAGCACATAACTCTAAACAACACCAAACATTCACTTCAACAACACTGGGGTTATCTATAAAATCTTTGCCAGGAATAATTAGTAATTGCCACTGAGTCACAATTTGTTTACCTAGAGACCATTTCTCTTACAAAAGAACTAAGAAGAAACAAGAAAAAGGGAGAGACAAGAAGAAAGAAAAGCAGGTAAAAGAAGTGGCATGTTGTAATGAGAACGCCACCTTTTGTCTTCCTCACTCAAGCCCACAACTTTGGGCTAACCATGAGACAGCCAATAGAAAATGGTTTCCTAAGGTTGGACATATCTTCAGCAAAGCCATAATCCTCTAACACAGTGCCTATAGTTTCTAAGATAAACCATGAATAGTAGATTCACAGTCTTGCTTAGTACTTTCACTTACTAGAATGGAATAAATGTATCTGATTTTAAACAGTGGTATTACCAGGCAGACAACTATGATTAACTCTGGGATTTTCCTACCCTGTGATGATTTTGAATGAGTCCAAGAGGCTATACTGGCTTCCTATTGGACTGAACAGCACTGTGTGGCACTTTATAGAGGAAAACACTCGTTGAGAACCTTCAAATCACTGTATGAAAAGCGCTTTAAAGGAGTACACACTGAAAACTACTACATAACAAAAACATGCTCTATATGCTTATATAGTATGTTAAACAGTTTGTTAAAATGGCACTTTTGTAATCTCAGCTACTCAGGAAGCTGAGATAGGAAGAGCCCTTGAGCCTAGAAGCTGAAGGCCAGCCTGAACAATAATATTAAGACTGTATTTCAAATTAATAAACAAAAATGTCACCAAAGAAAGTGTAAAATGGCTTCCACCACATTGGTCATCATGGCAAATATCACAAGGTAAATTTATTACAAATTCTGAGTTTTTATTAGTACATGAACTGAAACTTACTTTCCTATTGTGTGGTACCAAAGACTGTCCATGTTTACAAATACTGTGTGTGTCCTATAAACAAAAGCAGTGAAGTACCTTGTAATGTCTATTCCTCACAACATCATGTAGGAGAGTAATCTGGTACTTTCCTTTGACATTCACATCCACTCCACCCATTAATAGTTCACTTACTGTCTGATAATATCCTCCTACACTAGCTTCATGAAGTGGTATTTTACATCTTAATAACATTTCAAGCCTTCTCTTTAAAAAAAAAAAAAAAGGCAAAACAATTCCAGGAGCTAGAGAGATACCTCAGCTGTCAGCACATACAGTTTTTTTGTTTTGTTTTGTTTTTTGGGTTTTTTTTTTTGTTTTTTTTTTGTTTGTTTGTTTGTTTTTTTACAATGTATTCACCCACCCTTATCTCCTCCTGGTCTCACCCTCCCTTCTTCTTCCCCCTTCCCTCCCTCCTAGTCCACTGATAGGGGATGTCCTCCTCCCTTACTATCTGACCTAGCCTATCAGGTTCATCAGGTCTGCCTGAATCTGCTTCCTCTGTGGGCTGGCTAGGCTGCCCAGAAAGGGAGAAGTGATCAAAGAGCAGGCAACCAAGTTCATGTCAGAGACTGCCCCTGCTCCCCTTACTAGGGAACCTACATGGAAACTGAGCTGCTAGAATAAACATCTACAGAAGCTAAACAACAAGGACTCTAGGGAAGATGCTTAATTCTCATTCAGAAGGGCAAACAGGACAGATACCATAAGTGGTAGAAAAGATGGAACAGGACAGGAGCTTACCACAGATGTCCTCTAAAAGACTACCCAGCAGGGGATCAAAGAAGATGCTGAGGCTCACAGCCAAACTTTGGGCAGAGTGCAGGGAGTCTTATGGAAGAAGAGGGAAATAGAAAGAACCGGAAGGGACAGGAGCTCCACAAGGAGACCAACAAATCCAAAAAATCTGGGCCCAGAGGGGACTGCAAAGACTGATGCATCAACCAAGGACCATGCATGGAGAGGACCTAGACCCCCTGCACATATTATTCTTGCAGAAAACCTGGGTATGTTTCCCAAAACTCACACTGGGTAGCTCACAACTACTTATAATTCCAGTTGTAGGGGATCTAATGGCCTCATCTGGTCTTTATGGGCATTTACATTTACAGGCAGATACCCTTAACACAGAAATAAACACACACACACACACACACAAACATATATATAATTAAAACTAATAATTATTTCAAAGCTCTCTAATTTTAGATGCTTTCTTTAAAAGTATTCTGATAAAAGTATTTTATATTATTTACTGGATTCAAGAATAGTTGGAAATGTAGCTCAGTTTATAGTGTGTGCCTAGCATGCATTAGGACCTGGGTTCAAGCTCTTTTACTACATAAAGCCAGACATGGTTGTATATGCTTGGAATCCATGCACATGGGAAGTGAAGACAGAAGAATATAAAGTTTCAAAGTCACCCTCTGAAACATAACAAGTTTGAGACCAAACTGAGCTATGTGAAACTGTCTTAAAAAAAAAAAAGATGAAAAAAAGAAGTGAAGAGGAAAAACAAATTCTTAACCTTGCTATGGCAAAATACAAAAATGAGACAAATATTTTAATGACTGTGTACGTATGTCTCTAAGTGGGTATGCACATATGAATGTAATGCCGATGGAGGTCAAAGGTAATAATAGATGGTAGTTTTGAACTGCCTGGGGGGTGCTAAGAACTGAACTTAGGTCATTATGAACTCTCAACTGTTGAGTCACCTCTCCAACCCAAGAAGGCAAATATTTCAAAGCATTCTTAATTTTCCAAAATAAGAAACAATCCTTACAAGGCATTTATCAACTAACTGAGACTGGTTACAAGCTACTTTCTGCAGAAAAATAGGGAAAAAAACTTTATTTCTAATTCAAGGTATAATCATTAAAATATCTCAGCCAGATTATCACATGTGTGAATAAAGCGGTACAAAAGAGGGAACAGACAGGAGCTTACCAAAGATGTCCTCTAAAAGGCTCTACCTGGCAGGGGATGGAAGCAGATGCTGAGGCTCACAGCCAGACTGCTGGCAGAGCTCACAATAAGCTGCTTACTTATGAAACAGCTATTTATATTTACAGTAATTCAAGGAGCAAACAACATACAATGTCTTTATATCAATATCTTCTTTGTTAGTTAGAGGTGATAGTATGCTGTTGATAATTATTAAATTCTAATAAGTTATGTGATAGATTTAATAAAATCCAAAACAATGTTAAAATAATTTTTAACTTACAATTTAGGTCTCAATCTAGCATTAAAATTTTTAGACTGGAAATTTCATTTTTGTTGAATTTTCTGCCCTCAACCTCCTGGACTGATGAGAGATTTCCTATTTCAGTAACAACCATTAAAAATATTTGCAAATATTCTCCAACATTCCACCAAGGGGAAAGTCAACTCAACTGAGAAACTATTAATACAAACATCATGAAAGTAATTCCCCTTAAACCACCAACTATGGAGCCTTAAAAAAAGAAATAAAGAATATCAAACCAGTAAGTATATTACTTGTAGATTTTTCCTCTAAAAAGATACAAAAAAAAAAAAAATCAAACAGTTGGTTCTTTGAGAAAAACAGTAAGACTGATGGCCCTTTATTCAAATTAACTAAAAGGCAAAGACAGAGTATCCAAATTAACAAAATTAGAAACAAAAGGGAGACATAACAACAAACACCAAGCAAATCCAGAGAATCGTAACTTTAAAAATCTGAATTCCACTAAGTTGGAACATCTAAAACAAATAATTTTCTTGCTAAATACCACTTACCAAAGTTAGGTCAAGCAATTTAAATAGACTTATAATCCCTAGTAAAATAAAAGCAGTCATTAAATGTCTCCTAACTAAAAGAACTCAGGTTTTCATCCAGAATTCTACCAGACTTTCAAAGAAGAGTTAATGCTAATTCTCCTCAAATTATTCCACAAAATAGAAACAGAAGGAACAACGGCAATTCATTTTATGAGGTCACAGTATACCCTGATATCTAAACCATATAAAGACCCAACAAAGAAAGGAATTAGAGATCAATTTTTCTTGTAAACATAGATGCAAAATACACAATAAAATGTGTGCATACCGAATATAAAAACACTGAAATAGGAGATATCTCTTCAGTCCAGGAGGCTAAGGCCAGAAAAGTCAACAAAAATGAAATTTCCAGCCTAAAAATTTCACTGCTAAATTAAGACCTAAATTGTAAGGTCACACAGGCTTCATCCTAGAGATACAGGGATGGTTCAACATACAAAAATTGATAAGTGTAATCCACCACATAAACAAACAGAAATACAAAAACCACATGATCATTTCATTAGATGCAGAAAGGCCTGTGACAAAATCCAACACCCCTTCATAATAAAAAGTCCTGGAGAGATTAGAGATCCAAGGGTATCCCTAATTGAGGATACTTCAACATAATAAGGCAGGTTACAGCAAGCCCATACCCAATGCCAATTTAGATGGAAACTAAAAAATAATTCCAATATAACTAAAAATAAGATAAGTTTTTCCACTTTTTCTATACCTATTCAATATAATACTTGAAGTTTAGCTAGAGCAATAAGACAACTGAAGAAGTTCAAAAGCATACAAACTGGAAAAGAAGTCAAAGTATCTTTATAGATGATATACAACTGATCCCCCAAAATTCCAGAAACTCCTACATCTGATAAACACTTTCAGCAAAGTAGCTGGATTAAAAAAAAATTAACTCCCCCTGCACAGGTGTAGCCCATGGCAGTTCAGTGTCCAAATGGGTTACATAGTAATGGGAAGAGGGACTGCCTCTGACATAATCTGATTGGCCTGCTCGTTGATCACTTCCCCCTGAGGGGGGAGCAGCCTTATCAGGCCATAGTAGAGGACAATGCAGCCACTTTTGATGAGAACTGATAGACTAAGATCAGAAAGAAGAGGAGAACCTCCCCTATCAGTGAACTTGGGGAGTGGCATGCATGCAGAAAGGGGAGGGATGGTGGGATCGGGAGGGGAGGAGGGAGGGGCTTATGGGGGGATACAAAAGAATAAAGTGTAATTAATAAAAAATTAAAAAAAAATAAATAAATAAAATCTTAAAAAAAATTAACTCACAAAAATCAGTAGGCCTCCTATTTACAAATGACAAATGGACTGAGAAAGAAATTAGAAAAAAATAACTTTTATAATAGTCCCAAATATATATATATAGTCCCAAATTATATATAAAATAATTATATATATGTAACTCTAACCAAGCAAGTGAAAGACCTACATGATTAAAAACTTCAAGTCATTGAAGAAAGAAATTGTAGAAGATATCAGAAGATGGGATGATCTCCTATGCTCATGGATCAGTAGGATTAACATTGTTAAAATGGCCACCCTACCAAAAGAAATCTAGGGATTCAATTCAATCCCTATTAAAATTCCAACAAAATTTCTCACAGATCTTGAAAGAAAAATGTTCAGCTCAATATGGAAACACACATAAACTGAGGATAGCTAAAATAATTGTGAGCAATAAAAGAACTGCTGGAGGTATACATTCCTGATTTTTTAAACAACATGTTATTACCCAAACAGGTAAGTTGATCAACAGAATCAAATTAAAGACCCAGACATAAATCCACACACCCATGGACACCTGATATTTTTTATAAAGAAGCCACAAACACACACTAGAAAAATGACGGCATCTTCAACAAATGGTGCTTTTCAAACTGGATGGCTGCATGTAGAAGAATCCAAATAGATCCACTTAACATTATACACAAACTCCAAATGGACATAGATCAGTGGCTCCTGGGCACTGTGCGCCTTTCAGTTCCTGAGAAACTGAGCCACTGCCTTAGGCAGTGAAGCATCCAGGTCGCTCTGTGTTTCTCTGTGTTCCCAGAAGTCAATCCTAGCAACCAGCATTATATTCTGTTTCTGATAAGGGCATAAAAAGTCTGATTGTTTGCAATAAGCTTGTCACAGCCACAGTCTTGCTATGACACCTACAGCCTGTGCCTGGTTGTGATTTATCTCTCAATGGCCACATCAGTTAACCTTGACCTAGTAAATAAACACTGGCTCTTACAGTAGTACACTGACACAAATGAATATTATTTAGCTATTTTAAAAATGACATCGTGAAATTTTATGGCAAATGGATGGAACTAGAAAAAAATCATCCTGATCCCGACCCAGAAAGACAAAAATATGGTATACACTTGCTTATATGTGGATATTAACCCTTAAGTCAATGATAGCCAAACTACAATCTGTAGAACCATAGAGGGTAGTTATAGAACAAGGGACCAGAAGCAACAGATGAATCTAGTTAGGGAAGGGAAATGGAACAGATAATCAAAGAAGGATCTGACGGGGGGGGGGGGGGGGGGGGGGGGAGGAGGGAGAAAATAAATGGAAAGTTAGCTAAAATTAAGGGCAACTGAGGGGAAATGTGGAAAGCTAACACAGCAGAAACTTCCTAAACTATGTAACATATACTAAGGCAATCTAAATCAAATCACCAAATAATGGGGAAGAGAGACTCTCAACTGGCCATTTCTTGTCACCAAACAAAGCTTCCAGTACCAGAATTTGATCACATCACATTGAGCTGTAGGCCAAATGTCTCATGAAAATCCCCAAACAACCCAGGCAATTTCCAAAACAGTACATTGTTGTCCACCATCTGACAGCAAGGCCCCATTGCTAAAGACAACACATACACAATGCATTGAACAAGGAGATGTCAAATTGGTGCCTACACAGAACCTTCACTCCTATGGGCTAGTATCTTTGGTACAGGAAGGTACTCTGTACCCTACTAAAGGAGAAATGAAACACCAACCCAGCTACAAACCCTTTAATCAATAGTGGTGTCCGCCTGCAAGATATGCTAGGGCAATGCTAGCATAGGCAAGTATATGTTAGCAGCACATACTTGGAGGAGTAACCAACCAACACCTCATCTGACTTAAGGTCACTTCACAAGGCAGAATCTATACTCTGCTGGTAGACAGCCCAGGGACCTAGGGTAAAACCAAGCACTACTGGTCTAAACAAAGACAAAATGTATAATAAAACGAGTCCTAAAGATATTCCATTATACTCACAGATCAGTGACTTGTTCATCATCAGAGAAGCTTCCTCCTGCAGCAGATGGTAACAAATACACAGACACACAGCCAGTCATAACACAGACAGCAAAAGAACCTAGAACACTCAGCCTTAAATTGGATGTTGCCAACAAATCCCTCCAAGAGCTCAGGGAACTCCATGGAAGAAGAGGCAGAAAGATTTTAAGAACCAGGAGAACAGGGCCCTCTTAATCAACATGAGCAAAGCAAAGCAAAACCACAAAGACTGAAGCAGCATGCACAGGTCTATACCAGGTATATATTATGTATATATTATGACTTCCAGTTTAGTGTTCTTATCCAATTCCTAAGAGTGTGAATGAGTGCGTTTCTGATTTTTGTGGCTTCTCTTGAACTGTTTTCCTTCTGTTGGGTTGTCCTGTCCAACTTCAAGGTGATAGCTGATTATTACTATTATGCTTTACTTTGTCATATTTTAGTATTATCTCTTAGAAGCCTGTTCCTTTCTAAAAAACAGAAAGGGACTGGAATCAGATGGGAGAGGGTAGGGAGAAACTGGGAGGAGGAGAGAAGGGTTAACCACCATCAGGTTATATTATATGAAAAAAAAATCTATTTTTAATACAAGGGAGGAAAAAATATGCAAGTAAGTAAATACTGCTTATAGATTTTGCCCTAAAAAGTTCCTTGAAACACATATGGTTGTTCAAAGGAACAATTATAAAATTATCCTTTGACATTTGAACTATACAGATGTGATAAATAGCTATATCATAAGGGCTGAGGAAAAATGAACCTGTATATAATTAATGTCTTTATATTTTATATAAGCTATAACAATATTAGCTCTAATAAAACTACAGAACATTACAGGTATAAGTTATTACTATACTACCCACTAAAAACAACAGAAAAAAAACAAGCAGATTAAGAACACAGGAATAATGAGAAGAACAGTAATCCTAACCCCTTTCTTATATTAAGCAAAAAATGACCAATTACTCAAATTTCAATTGAAAAGCAGAGACTGGAAGTGCGGGTTTTTAAAGGTGTGTCATCTATTATAAGCATATTTTAAATAAACGACAGATTAAATTAAAATGCTGGAAAGATAATTATATAACAATAAGTGAGTGATTAGGATATTAAAGATAGTAGTAGATTTCAAGGCATGTATTACCAGTAATGAAAACCTTATAAAATAATAAAAGGGACAGTAAAGTCAAAACTGCATATATACATATATACATATATATTAACGAGGGTTTAAAGTATAAGGGACAAAAATTGGGCATCATTAAAAGAAGACATATACAATTTCACAAGCATAGTTGTAAAGAAATTAACAACTCTCTAAGAAAATAGATTAGCAGACAAAAATCCATTAAAGACATAAACAACCTGAACTGCATTATCAACACCTCATCAAACTGGTTTATAGACATTATATCCAGCAATTAAAGAATAAGCATCCATGTGTATATGACATATTTACCAAGAGATTATATACAAGGCAAAAAAGTTCAATTCTCAATAAATGTAAATGAATCAAAATTATTTGAGTATGGCTTTTACAGACAAATGAAATCAGTACAAGAGAGCTATCAAGAGAAGGCTGGCAAGATAAATCTGAAAGAAAAGGCTCTTGTTGGCTAAGCCTGGTAACCCAAGTTCAAACTGTGGAACCCATATAAATGTGTAAGTAGAGAAGCAACTTCACAAATTTGTCTTCTGACTTCCACATGCACATCCACACAACACATGATCATGCACAAACATGCACACACATAATTATTTTCAAAAGATATCAAGAGAATCTCTAAATATTTAAAATTTAAACAATCTCTAATAAAATTGCTAGGTAGAATCAAAAGATCATACAATAAATTACAAATATTTCAAACTGGGTAAAACTGAAACAAAATATATTAAAATTTGTGTGATGCAGCAAAGTGGTGCTTGGAAGGAATTATAAAGCTTTACATGCTTATATTAGTTGAAAAGATACAAAAAAGCTTCCTTTTCCACTTCATAGAACTGAAAAAGCTAATATCATAAGGTAGCTGACCAGAGTTGCTTGGTACAATTTACTTCACAAGAAAAAAACAGGACCAGAAGAAAGGAAAAGTAACGGCTGTTCCACTAAGGTATTTGAGAAGAATTCAGGAGTGCAGAGAGAATGAGAGAGATCTGTAGACCACACAAACTCAGGATGGCTTTATTAATGAAGAACAAAATACCATAGCTTCAGCTGCCAGCTTGATGTAAACCTAGAGTTACCTGGAAAGAAGGAACACATTTTTGAAGAGGTGCAGAGATCAGGCTGGCCTGCTGGCCTGTGGCCACGTCTGTGGGGAATTTTCATAAGTGTTAACTGATGCAGAGGGGCCCAGCCCACTGAGGAAGGAGCGATATCTGATCCTTCCACAGGTAGTTCCTTGGTCAATTCTTACCTCTAGGTTCCTGCTTGAGTTCCTGTCTTGATTTCCCTTGATGGACTATAACCTATAAAATGTAAACCCTTTGCTTTCCAAAACTTTTTTTTTTTTCACAGCAACAGAAAGCAAATTAGATCAAAGCACAAGTAACTACTGTCCCATTTCCCTACTCATAGCAACCATGAACCAATGAAGGACTTCATATGACAAGGAATGGGTGGCCCCACTAGTAACATAAGCACCTTAAACATTTGCTGTTGGAGAAGCCTCAAGTCCTTGCAGGCCCTGAGCCACACTGAGGGGCTTTCAAGAAATCTGTACTATTGTATTATACAAAAAAAAAAAAAAAAAAAAAAAAGAGTTCATCCAAGTTGGGCCTTCCTCAACTGGAACATTCCTATCTAGTGTCATCTGAAGCACTGTCAACCTGAGGTCTTACAAAACAGTCCCAAAAAGCAGCTGAGCAGCTTGGTTCACCAAGGTAACAACAACAAAAATCCCTGTGCAATGTGGGTGGTGGGCAAACACACGCAAACACACACACACACACACACACAGAGCGGGAGAGAGAGAGAGCAAACCCTGAGAGGTGCCCTGCCTGAGTATACAATGGCAACTCAGGTTCCAAGAAATGCACTAACACCAACAAACCCTTCCTCCTTGCTGCCAGGAATTGTGTACTGACCCACACCAAAATAATGACCCAACAGAGCAGATCTACCTTTATAACATTCTCAAAAAGTGACAAGCACTGTGCTGCTGTGACAGCCATACCCAGATGTACCAACAACCAAACACTGTCTATGACCTCTACATTCCTAAGCACATGGTAAGCAGCTCCATTTTTAGTTTTAAGGTACCCCAAACTGATTTCAATAGTGTTGTGCCAATAGCTCTTGTTTTATAAATAAAAGTAACTGGCTCAACTTGTTAAATTACAGGTACACACACACACACACACACACACACACACACACACGTGAGAGGGGAGAGGGAAAGAGAGATGGAGGGACACAGAGACAGACTGAGAAAGACAGAGAGACAAAAATGGTGCACTTTTACATTTTTCATGTACATTTAGTGCTTGGCATACATACATGTCTGTGTAAGGAGTCAGATCATGGAATTTGAGTTACAGATGAGACAATTGTTAGGTGCCATGTGGGTGGTGGGAATTGAACTCAGGACCTCTGGAAGAACAGCCAATGCTCTTAACCGCTATGCCATCTCTCTAGCCCCAGAAAATGGTATATTTTTTAACAAATATTGTAGGTCATTTCTGATGAAAATGGCTTACTGGCTACCTTGTGGCAACACTTCTCTCTCTGACTAAAGAATATGAAGGAATGAAAACAGAGATAGGATGTGAAGTAGGAAAAAATGAGTAATAAATGTTTGAGAAACCTGGAAAATAAAAATAAGTAATTCATGGAGGTCACAGAAGTGCCTGGGAAAATGAGGAAACCGGCTGAAGACATAAAAGGGAGCAGCCAGAAAGGATGGCACTGGCACAAGAAAAAGAATGAAAAATTAAAAAATAAATTACATAATTGGGAAATTCATAAAGTCAAACCTGGTTACATGCAGAGCTATTTTTGAACTCAAGAAACTCTAAGTACTGAAGAAAAGACAACAAAACTCTTAAAAAAATCAAGAGTTTCTTTAGATGTACAGATTTTAGTAGGTAGAGAGGACCCTGACTAAAATGCTCAATCCCCATCCCAAAAGGCAAAGAGGAAGGACATCAGAAGAAGAAGAAAACAGGAAACAACCTAGGAACCTGCCACAGAGGGCCTCTGAAAGGCTCTGCCCTGCAGACAATCAAAGCAGACGCTGAGACTTATGGCCAACTGTTGGGCAGAGTGCATGGAATCTTATGTAAGAAGTGGGAAATAGTAAGATCTGGAGAGGACAGGAACCCCACAAGGAGAGCAACAGAACCAGAAAATGTGATCACAGGGGTCTTCCCAGAGACTGATACTCCAACCAAGTACCATGCATAGAGATAACCTAGAACCCCTGCACAGATGTAGCCCATGGCAGTTCAGTGTCCAAGTGGGTTCCATAGTAATGGGAAGAGGGACTGCCTCTGACATAATCTAATTGGCCTGCTCTTTGATCACCTCCCCCTGAGTGGGGAGCAGCCTTACCAGGCCACAGAAGATGACAGTGCAGCCACTCCTGATGTGATCTGATAGACTAAGATCAGAAGGAAGGAGAAGAGGACCTCTTGTCAGTGAACTTGGGGAGGGGCATGAGTGAAGAAGGGGGAGGGAGGATGGGACTGGGAGGGGAGGAAGGAGGGGCTTATGGGGGGATACAAAGTGAATAAAGTGTAATTAATAAAAAAATAAAATGTAACTAATAATAAAAATGAAATAAAATTATAAAAAAATCAAGAGAGTAAATGCTCTTGCAAGCAGATGAGTAAGGTTTATAGAGTCATGGTTATTAATTTGAGTATAAGATTTAAGAGCTAGAGAAAGAGAGTTCAGCAGGTAAAGGAACTTGCTAACCTTGGTGACCCAAGTTGAATCCTGGGGCTCTTCAGAGGAGAAGGAGAGAATTGATTTCCACAAATTTTCCTCTGATGTCTACACATTTGCTACTGCAAGTGTGCAGGCATGTGAATGTGTATGTGCACATGCACCCAGACTCACACATACATATATATGTACACTAAATCAGTAAGTAAATCTAAATAAAAAATATAAAGTTAAAAACTCTTGTTAAACAATGACCACACTGCAAACCTAGGCCTTAGTATCCGAAGTACTGGAGGAGGACTTACTTACCCATGGGCTAGTCCATCACTTACACACCACATAGTTTGTTCCTTTCTAAAAATGAAAGGAAAATTATAGATACTCCAAAGCAGGGGCCCAGCCTAGCCCACTGCTGTTCAGAGTATCTTTACAGTCACTCCTATTCAGATAACATGTAAGCGTCTCCCCAGAAGAGAGGCTGCTGTACCACAGGGAAAGACTTTTTCTGAGCAACCTGTCTACCCTCTACCTCATATTCTAGTCTATTTCTCTGTCCATTAGTCCTTCTGTATCTCTGCCATTACTATGCATTTCCCTTGAGATTTAGTTAACATCAGTTTCTCCCAGTTTTGATCTCATCTTACCTCCATTCAAGGTTAAGTCTGAATTCTGGAGGACTTTCCTTGATTGTCTAAAATTTCATTAATTTTCCTTCATTAATTTGCCTTTTATTTTGCTGCCTCTATTAGGTCTTGCTATAAGAAAGGGGGAAGAAAGGAAGGAAGGGAGGGAAGGAGGGAGGGAGGGAGAGAGGAAGGGAAGGAGAGAGGGAAGGAAAAACAGACAGACCACCCTAATTGCTAAACATTAGAGACTACTGTCCTTTCTTTACTAAAGAATACCAAGATCCTCCCACAGATAATATGTATTCCTACTAAGAAAAAAATGGTGCTTGCTCTAAAATATGTCTGTTTTGGTTGTACTTGGTATTATAATTATGTAATTTATCAAGAGAAGCAAATGAGAACACAAGGCATAAATAATTTTTCAGTGAACACTAAGCTGTGAAAAACATTAATGCCCAGTGACTTGTCTTCTCAAGGGAAACAACTAGAAAACACACAAAATATGTGTAGGACCCTGTTGCAAACAAGAAAATTTGCAGTTTGGATCTTTGGCCCTGAGTATAGGAAAATGAATTCAGTGAGCTCCAAGGTCCCAATGGCTTTTAGTTCAAATGAATTTTCAGTACAGGAGAGGGGTTTTACAAAGTAAGGTGATCTCACTAATCTTAGAAAATAGAATTAAGAGTTTGGGAAGGCTGTTATAGTTATAATTTAATTTTCCAAGTGGGATACCGTAGATGAGAAAATCTTAGGTACCAGAAATCTACATAAGGAGGCCCTTGAATCATTACCTAAATAAGTTGCTTGTTTAAGAAAGGAACCTTGGGCTGGGAGATGGACCAGTGGGTCAGGTGCTTGCTTTGTAAGCCTGAGAGCCTGAGTTTGGATCCCTAGCACCCATGTAAAAGCCATACACGATGGCATATCCCTGTGACCAGTTTTTAGGTATTAAATTTTGGCTAACAGTTTCAGAGCTAAAGTAGCTTTTATTATAAATTCCATCAAACTTTTGTCATAGATGATTGTGTTGTGACTAATATGCTCTTACTTCTTTCTAACACTGTTTCTTTTTGTTTTTCTACATAATAATTACCTAGAATGTCACAATGTTTAACAGAAGTGGTGAGAATAGATATTTTGTTAGAGGGGTTCTTGCTTATTTTAAGTTTAGTTTATCAACTTGACACAAACTGGAGTCATTTGGGAAGAGGGACTCTCAGTTGCAGTTTGCCCTGTGAGCAAAGCTGAGGGACATTTTCTTCCCTGATGATTGGTGTAGGAGAGTCCCGCTCGCTGTGCTGATGCCAGCCCTGGGCTACATGAGAAACTGTAAGAAAGCAGGCTGGACCAGCCATGGGAAGCAAGACCATAAGCAGTATTTCTCCAAAGCTTCTCCTTCAGTTCTTGATTCCATATCCCTGCCTTGAGTTCCTGCCCTGACTTCCCTTGGTAATAGGTTATGACCTAAGAATTGTAACATAAGAAAAGCAAAACAAAATAAAATAACTACCCCTCCCCATTTCTTTTAGTCATAGTACTTTGTCCCAGCAATACAAACCCTAACCAAGACAGAAAGAATATATCAATAAATATAATAGTTATATAATTTCTGTAGATGCCCTTTGTCAGATTGAGGAAATCCTCCTCTATCCATGGTTACTATAATTTTTAACTAAAAGTGAATGTTAGATATTATTATATGCTTTCTTTATATCTGCTGAAATAATCTATATAGTTTTTCCTTTTGAGATTGTTAACATACCAAGGTGCAATGAGTAATTTTCAAATTTAAGGCCACTATCAGTAGTAAAGCTTTTAGATATTAGTATTTTGGCATGTAAAACTCACACTATTTAACATATGCAAGTAGTGAGTGTGAAGACAAGGCCTGTAAAATCATTATCATAAAGATCAGACATAACCTCCCTCCTTGTACTGACTGTTTCATGACTTTGTTCCATGCTAGTACATTTAAACCTTTGTGTTGCATTACAATAGTTCTCCTGTTTCATGTTGGATCTTCTGTGGAATGTATTTCTATACATTTCTCCTTCCTATCTTAGTTCTTTGAATAATTCTTTAAAGAGACATGGACTTTTCAGTATTAAGACTACAAAAAAGATTCACCTCTGTTCTCTTCCAATTTTTTTTTCGCTTAAACCTTTGATCAGCCTAAAACTCAATTTAGAATGAGGGATGTTACCTGAAACACTTAGTCCTTTTTACCAATACTTTGAACTAAGGTCTGCATCACTCAACACCCTATATTCCCACTGTATCTGCTTTCCAAATCTAAATCCTTTTTTCAATTTTATTGATTTATCTGTGTAGTCCTATACCACGACAAATTAATTTCGGTGGCTTTCTTAAATGTTATCATTTACACAGAACAGATTCTTGCCACACTATCTTTGATTTAATTTTTCTAAATATTTTTTCTGTTTTTTTTTTATACTTAACTTTCTACCTGAAATTTGGTATAACTTTGTAGCATTCTTGTAGCTACTTTCCAGCCCTGTTAAAATAATAAAATGAACAAGCAAACAAAGATCTATGTATATGGGACTAGAGAGATTATTCAATGGGTAAGAGTACTTGCTCTGCAAGCATGAAGACCCGAGTTCAAATCCCTAGCACCCATGTAAAAACACAGACATAGTTGTGCATGCCAGAAATCTCACCACTAAGAGGCAAAAGAAGGTGGCTCTTCCAGCCATCCAATATAGCTAAAACAGCAAGCTTCCAGGCCAGGGAGAGATTCTGTCTCAAGGAAATAATGTGGAAAGTGGTAAAGCAAGACACCTGATGCCTCCTTCGGCCTCTGCATGCATAGGCACAGGCATGCACACCAACATACCCACATGCATGAAACACACACACAGCTCTATGGTTTGTATGTGTGTGCATGTTTGTACATATATGTGTGATATATGTGAGGATATGTGCAGGGGTGTATAGAGGCTAGCCAGAGGTCAATGTCACGAGTCTTTGCTCAGTCAGTTTCTGAGACAGGGTTTCTCACTAAACCTATAGCTAAAGGATTTGACAGAAAAGCTGACAATCAATACCCACACATCTTCCTGTCGCTGCCTCTCCAAGTGCTGGGGTTACAAGAATGTGCTTGTCTCAGTCACTGTTCTGTGGCTAGGAGGAGGCACTATGACAAAGGCAACACTTACAAAACAAAGCGTCAACTTGTGGGCTTACAATTGCAGAGGTTTAGTCCATTGTTATCATGGTAGGAACATGGCAGCATCCGTGTCACAGTAGCTAAGAGCTACACCCTGACCCTCAGGTCTGAAGGGGGGTTATTGAAACCTCTAAGCTCACCCACATTGATATAGTCCATCCAACAAGGCCACACCGACTCCAACACGCCACATTTCTTAATTCGCCTAATCTTTTCAAAAGTTCTACTCCCTGGTGACTAAACATTCAAAAACATGAGCCTATGAGTACCATTTATTCAAACCACCACAGTGCTGGAAATTAAACTCAGGTCCTGTATTTGTTTAGAAAGCATTTTCCTGACTGAGCTACATCCTCCACCCCCCAAACCTACTTTTGATTGAGATCTCAAGTACTTGTAAGTAACTGAGAGGGAAGAAAGCTTCTTAAGTTCTAAATCTAATTGAGAACTAGTTTCTTGTTTCCATTTGTTCAACTTTTGGTACGTCAGGAGGAATTTTAAACCCTCTTCTTATAGGTATGATACAGGTTTAATTGTCAGAAGTAGCATTTTTCTTCTTTTTTACAGCACTGTAATTATTATAATTATATATAATTTCCTCTTACACTGCTTATCTAGTTAATATATGAGATATACTGTTCTTGGGATTTTTTTTCAGTTTATTAAATTTGTGTTTTATTTTGAAATGATTTCAGACTCTCAGAAAATGTAAATATAATAATGTTCTAAGAATATAGCCAAGTGGTTGAGAGTTTGCTTAGCATGTGTGAAGCCTTCAGTTTGACCTGAGTAGAAAAAATAAGCAAATGATTCAAAGTTAAACATTTTACCACAACTTTAAATAATTTTCATCTATTCTTTTCTACCTACCTATCCCATCCATCCATCCATCTACCTATCTATCCATCCATCCACCCACCCACTCACCCATCCATCTACCTACCTATCCATCCATCCATCCATCCATCCATCCATCCATCCATCCATCCACCCATTCACCCATTCACCCATCCATCTACCTATCCATTCATCCATCCATCCATCCATCCATCCATCCATCCATCCATCCATCCATCTATCCATCCATCCATCCACGCACTCACCCATCCATCTACCTATCCATTCATCCATCCACCTACCCACTCACCCATTCATCTACCTACCTACCTATCCTCTGTAGTACATAACAGATATTGTAGTACATAACAGATGGAATGATAGTGAAGAACTTTTATACAGCAAGTTTTACCACTAATACTTAACATGTATTTTCTAAGAAATAAACACTCTCTTATACAATCAAAAGTATTATTTTCAAATTCAGAAAACTCACATGCAATCTATAATCCATGTTTCAATGTTGTCACATGCACTACTACTTTTAACCACTGTTTCTATATTCTTTTATTGTAACACAACTTTTTAGTTTAATATTATAGGTTATATAGAAACAGAACAAGTTAGTAATAATTGACCTGTTAATTAATAATTTGCCTTCTTCTTTTCTCTACCAGTATTTTTGGTATGCATTGTCAGTCTTTTGCTGTGTTAGCCATACACCCAAATATGAAATCATATTAGAAATTGCTCTACTTCAGTTCTGTTTCTGTAACCTACTTGAAGGAATGAAGAAATATTCAAAATATGTCTCACCATTTTTTATTCTAAGTTGTTTCTTTTTCCTTACATGTTCACTCTTGATACTGGATGAATGCATATTCTTCCTGTTACTGTAAATCATTAAAACAGGATCCAGCATTCTTTTAAAAATGGGCTTATTAAATAATTGCAATCTTTTCCATAAACATTCATGAAAAAAATCACATAAAAGTTTGACAAAAAAATTGAAAACCCAAAGACAATTACTAAGTTATTCTCAACTGGAAAAGCAACTTAAACATGAAGATGGGGTCTAAGAAAGCTGTAGATAACTCTGTGAGAGACAGGCCCCTGTCAGACTTTTAATTGTTAGGCCTCCTTACTCCCCAAGCTGGCATGTTACTATCCACTCTATTCATCTCGTAGGAAAAGGAGGCAAGTTTTTTGCAGTGTTGTGATGGGTAAAGGGAGTTGTTATATAGTAGGGCACTGATCAAAAACTGCAGAAAAAAACCCCTAGCAAAATAAAAGGCTTTTTACTTAGGGGTAGATTGATACCGCTTCTAACATCCTCCATCACCCAATTACCAATTGGATTTGCAGCGTATCTGCTAAGAATAATATAATTTGATAGCATACCTGAAATTCTCAGTTGTAAATGTGCTATCCATTTGATCATCATAGCTAAGTGTTTCAGATGAAATCCTTTCTGGCATCTTCAATATGCCAACTGTTAGCATCACATCTCTGCTTGCTTTCAGTTTTTCCAGTCTAGATGATCTTCTTAGTACTTGAGGTGTTTCCTGGATGGAGGCATTTTTCATGAGATCTGAATTTCCCTTATTGTTTAGTTGCTCATAAGAGGTGGCATTTTCATGAGTCAATGTTTGCAACTTAAACAGTTTTGCATCTTCTAAAGTCTATGAAGATATACATATAACCATAGTTACATTAAAACAAAAAATTAAAATTATCTTCTACTTTGTTACAACTAAAATGTCTTTAAGATGAAAGCATAACAACTCATAAGCACATGTGCACATAATGAAAAATTCTATAATCATATTTTTAAAAGAACATAGATTTTAAGCTTATGGAAAACATAAGCAGCCAGTCTTGGTGACACATATCTATAATTCCAGCACTAAAAAAATGAAACAGGGGGACTGTGAGTTTGAGGTCAGCCTGGACTTCATAAGGAGATTGGGTGGCAGAGGAGAAAAGGAAAGACCTTATTTCATCAATATTCACTTTAAAATTCAAAGAAAAATAAAAGATCACTTTTGGTGCATTGATTTGTAAGGAAGTTGTTCAGAATAAGACACACACATAAGAACATGACAAAGACCAGTCAAGATCAGATTAAGGGTCTGTGCAACCCAGTACTCCATTGACAGAAGCAATGAAATTTAGGGGATAAGGTGATACATAATTTTTATATTTTCAAAGATCAATAGAATGTCATGAATCTTCTAATTTCTCCTTGATAAACTACTATAGATCTAACTTCTACAAAGACATTTACATTTTACATGTACCACCTAAACCTGTTGAGCTCATTTATGTACCCAGATGCAAAGCTTCACAAAATAAAATATTAAATATTTTCATCGCAGCTGAGTTTTAAACTTTATTTCTTTTTACTGTTTAAGGGGTTTCTCTCCTTAAACTTGAAGACTCACTAAAACCTGTGCTTGCTCTACCAGTATTAATATTTTCTACATTTTACTCAGTCTTTCTTCTCATACCAGAACTGAGATGTTTAATCATCTTTATCTCCTTGATAAGGATCAAGGAGATCTTTATGTGTCTTTCTTCTGTTTTCTTTTCTGAGTCCTATATTAAGGTCTATCTGAGAGTTGACAGCCAGACTACATTGGCATTACTACAGGTTTATATGCTCCAACAGAAACTCAGGCTTTCTCTAAATCTTCTTGAGGATGAGGAAATAAAAAAGAAATCTGTTTCCATTATTAATTGATTAAATTATAATACATTTGCATCCTATTTAGTAATCTAAAAGATTTAAAAGTTCTAAATTTCCCCACATTAAAAAGATAAGCAACATATATTTAAAAAATAAGTTGCAATGCATTCTGTATTATACAGTCTCATTTAAATGAAATAAATGAGCACAGGATAGAAGTAACTGAAGATGCACCAAACTGTGGATCTAGGTGGGGGACTTGTGTTACCATACTGTTAAATAATCTTGTAATGTCGGATATGTTCTTTTGGTTTTGGTCCGGAGACAGGGTGCTACTGTGGGCCCATGCTGGTCTTGAACGCCTGAACTGTTGACCCTGTTGCCTCAGCCTCTCTAGTGTGGGTATTACAAGAATGTATCACCATATTTGCATTTAATTTTAAAATAATGAAAACACAAACTCTCAACATGAAAAGGGAACTTGGCTCCTATTATGTCACTACAGGGCCTCCAGGCATAATGTAGAAATTCTAAAACCACAAGTTATGGCTCTTCACCCGTACACTAAAAGTAATCAGAGCTTAAAGAAAGCTTGATTCTTCCCTTGACACTCAGTAGCCCAAATTACTCTATGTCAAACCACAGGGCTCATTATCTACTCTGTACTCAGGTAAATATAGTAATATTCTGAACAAGAGAAATTTCTGATAAGAAATTCTTTCTTATATACTAAAAAAAAAACAAATGATATGCCTTCTTATATAAATTGAGGAGAAAAGAATTTTAACTTAATCCCTTACAAGTACTTGTAAAAGGAGCAATCTAGCTGTGAAAGTTACACAATATCTTCTAGATGTTGGTATCTGATGAAATGATTTGAATTTAACAGAATCAAGATTGTTACAGGTCACGACAAAAGTTATATTCAGATAATCATACAGTGTATACACACTTGTCCTACTGAAAGATGGTTGTTTCACAACCTAGATAACCTGAACTTTTTCAACAGTAGGATAGAAAATTCACCTGTTCTATCTGTGTGCAATCTTCATCTATCTGAGACATAGTGGGCTGCACTTGTAAACATTCATTTCCACCACTAACACAGCTGCTTTTCTCTTGTTCTTGACAGACAGGTCCTACACCAGCACCCGGTAATGTGTTGGTGGTTGCCAGGAAGTCAGCTGGCAATGTAGCAACATCCTTCATGTTTTCTTGTACATCTTTATAACATGCTGACAAGGCATTCAAATGGCCTGACACAGAATTCAAGGAGTTGCTCAATGGGTTCAACAAATCTTGAGAACTGAAGTCATTCATTATTTCAAGAAGGGTTTCCTCTTGGGTGCCTCCTGATGATTCTAGTAAACTTTCTATAGCAGACACAAATGTTTCAAGAGACTTTTCTTCATCTTTGGTTTCTTTAGATGTCATGGTCAGCGTTACTTCCTCTCCAGGCTCAGAAAATGTATCCGTTACTGCTAAGGTCTTCACTGGCTCTGGTAATGATTTCTCCTTTAGTGCAACCAAATCAGATGCCATAAGAGAAGTACCTGAGAGAAGACTAATTTCAGGGGAATCTATGTTTTCACTTAGTTCCTGTGTATTACATAAAACACAAAGTAACATTAAAAATTAGATTTATAACTCATTTTGTTAGTAATTTATTTTTACCAACTGTCTACTTCATCCATAAATAAAAATATTCCTTACTACTTTCCTATATGAAATTGGTAATGCCTGAATATATGGTTAAATGGACCAAGAGTGACACTTGTATCACAGATAACAAATTATCTCTTCAACTAAGCTTTAATTATCTGCTCCAACAAAAGAGACAGATGATCTGGATATTTAAATTAAGAAATGACCTCAATACTTCAAAGTTTAAGTAATGATATAAAATTCTTTCTTGTGAAAAACTGATATAATTTCACCTTCTGAATAAACATGCAAATATGAAATAAGAAAATGAAATGAATAGGAAATCAGAAAGGGAAATAAAATGTATGAGGGTGCAATTCTATGAAAATTTATGAATCCTGATTTTAAATTGATAACTTGGTTTTTTAAATTTTAAACAAACAAAAACCAACTTTCCCAGCGAGTTTACTTTGAAAGGCAATACTATAACAGATTATTCTTGTTCTTACAAAGTTTCCAATGTCCAATATTAGAATCAGTCTTAAAGTTTCTATCCAAATTAGCTGCTATGCTACTCAGAAAAATAATATACTTTATAGGTGTTGAAATTTATAGTTTTTAGTCACTTTTGTGGTCCCCCTGTGGAGGAATTTTAATCCAGCAACATGGCTGCTGTGGCAAGGGATCACATCTAAAAACCTTCTAGGTCTATGTGATCCAGCTGGAATACAGGCATGCCCTTGGTACATGAATTTAATCCCAAACAATGAAAGAAAGTTTAGTTTATAGAAGAAAACAGCTATGTTTGAAAGTAAGTCTAATTGAGGGAAGGTCAAAGGATGAATCAAAGAATGAGAACAGAATGAGCCAGGGATAGGACATGGCCAGCTCTCGGGAGAACAGCAGGCTCCCTAAGAGCAGCGCAGGGAGAGCAGTGAGGGTACTAGGAGTAGGACACTTAGAGTGTGTGGCAGCTTTACCGGGACAGTTTTTCAGACAGGTTGCAGAGAGAATGAAGCCAGAGAATGAAAAGGAACCAGAAGATTAGAACATATTGCCAGAATTAGTTTGAGATGAAGCAGAGCAATTCAGTCAGAAGCAGAGAGAGAAGCCAGATTGAATCCATCAGCTTGGTAAAGAGTTTGGGCCAGAACAGCTGAGTTGAACCAGCTAGCAAGAGTTCAGAAACAACTAGAAAGGGTAAATTTAAATGTAACTGATAAGAAAAAAATAAAATACGAAAAAAAAAAAAAAAGAAAGGGTAAATTTATTCAGCAATAAGTCTCAGAGTCTGAAAGCATTCTAAGCCTAGGATAGTAGATGGAGGCTGAAAGCTGAAACCTTCGTGGTTCAGATTATTGAAGATTAGATTACGAGGCTAGAAGCTTCCAGTCCTAGCCCTAAGGATAGTTAGATCAGAGAAAAAAGTGACCTGGGCTCAGCTCAAGCCCTGTATTTGTATAGATTTGGTATGGCACCTATTTCATCCCCTTGTCAGAGGAAATAAAAATAACATTTACACCCCCACAACATGTCCACTACCTCTCTGGCAAGAAGCGTTATCATGTCCTTAGACTGCTAATAATTTGTTCTAAGTTGGATTAAAAAAAAGTTAAAAAAAATAAATTAATTAATTAACATATTCTATCTGCCACCATCTCCCATGTCTACAGCATACAGTGCCTAAGAAAATACCTTTACCTGTAATAACTACTACTAACTACTAACTACTTTCTTATAAGCTAAGAAAACCAAGAACTGGATCCTACTCTATATTTGAGTCACATCTCAAGGGCTCCCTATTTAAAGTCCTTTTACGTTTATTAAATTCAGAACACTAAGGTGTACCAAGCAATAGCCCCATAGAAACTTAATAGGTAAGAGTAGCTAACCCCATGGCAGTTCAGTGTCCAAGTGGGTTACATAGTAATGGGAAGAGGGACTGCCTCTGACATAATCTGATTGGCCTGCTCGTTGATCACTTCCCCCTGAGGGGGGAGCAGCCTTACCAGGCCACAGTAGAGGACAATGCAGCCACTTTTGATGAGAACTGATAGACTAAGATCAGAAAGAAGAGGAGAACCTCCCCTATCAGTGGACTTGGGGAGTGGCATGCATGCAGAAAGGGGAGGGAGGGTGGGATAGGCAGGGGAGGAGGGAGGGGCTTATGGGGGGATACAAAATGAATAAAGTGTAATTAATAAAAAATTAAAAAAAAAATTTATGTTACTCAAAAAAAAAAAAAAAAAAAAAGAGTAGCTAACCTCCAGGAAGCAATAAACAGTTTTGCTGATTTTTTCCTAAGAAATTTTTGGTGAGACAAAAATTAATCAAGTTGCTTACCTATAAAGTTTTTCAAAATATATAAAGATCTAAGACACAATGGTCCCCAAACATTCTATTTAAAAGTTTGTTTTCAGACGATCTACTCATATAGTCAGTGAAAAGTAAGTATCAGAGAAGAAGCAATTACTTTGGTCAATATTACCACTCACATGACACAGATCCAAAATCAAGAAAGGACTTGAGGCATGAATTAATGACTTATGAAGGGAAGGAACAACATACATTTATTGATACAATAAATACAACTGATACAACTAGGTGCCAGGCCAGAAGTCATCATTGCTCATGGTCTTCACAACAGCTCTTTGAAACGTCTCTCTGTAGGTATACAGATTTTAGTATGTTTATCCTATATCTTATGTCTAATATCCACTTATAAGTGAGTATATACCATGTGTGTCTTTCTGCTTCTGGGATACTTCACCCAGGATGATCTTTTCTAGTTCCCACCATTTGCCTGAAAATTTCATGATTTCTTTGTTTTTAATTGCTGAGTAGTATTCCATTGTGTAAATGTACCACAATTTCTGTATCCATTCCTCCATTTGAGGGACATCTGGGTTGTTTCCAGGTTCTGGCTATTACGAATAAAGCTGCTATGAACATGGTTGAGCAAATGTCCTTGTTGTGTATTTGAGCATCTTTTGGATATATGCCTAGGAGTGGAAGCTAATCAAGAAGGAGGACCCTGGGTAAGATGATCAATCCTCATTCAGAAAGGCAAACAGGATGGACATTGGAAGAGGGAGAAAACAGGGAATAGGACAGGAGCCTACTACAGAGGGCCTCTGAAAGACTCTTCCCAGCAGGATATCAAAACATATGCTGAGACTCATAACCAAACTTTTGGCAGGCTGCAGGGAATCTTGTGAAAGAAGGGGGAAATGAAAGACCTGGAGGGAACAGGAGCTCCACAAGAAGAGCAATATAACCAAAAAAAAAAAAAAAAAAATGGGTACAGGGGTATTTTCTGAGACTGATACTGATACTCCAGCCAAGGACCATTCATGGAGATAATCTAGAACCCCTGCACAGATGTAGCCCATGGCAGCGAAGGCTCCAAATGGGTTCCCTACTAATGGGAACAGGGACAGTCTCTGACATGAACTCAGTAACTGGTTCTTTGATCACCTCCCCGATAGCAGGAGCAGCCTTACCAGGCCACAGAGGAAGACAATACAGCCAGTCCTGATGAGACCTGATAGGGTCAGATGAGAGGGTAGAAGGACCTCCCCTATCAGTGGACTTTTGGGGAGGGGCATGGGAGGAGAAGAAAGAGGCTGGATGGAGTTGGGAAGGGACGAGGGAGGAGGCTACAGCTGGGATACAAAGTGAATAAGTTGTAATTAATAAGAAATAAATATATTAAAGAAAAGAAATATCTCTCTGTCAGTACTTTATAGATACAAACAAGAGTTACCCTTGAAGCCACATCCACTCCAAATCCTCTGGCTCAAACCTCAGCAAAAAAGATTGGTAATTATATAGAAGGGACAGGTAAGATGAGATAGCCAGGTAAAATAAGGTGGGCCTAGAAGGTCCGTTACTTGATATCTTGAGGGAGGATGTGAGTCCACTGTGGGCAGAGCCAGTTCACAGCACGAAATAAAAAGCAAAGACAATACAGGCCCTTGATAAACATTAGCAACAGGACAATGAAAAACAAGCCTGAAATAATAAAGAAGTAAGGTTAACATTAAAAACAACAAAAAAGGTTACACTCCATCATTTGGGCATACATAATACCAAATTGTACACTTCTCTAAACATAGAAAAAGAGACTTGCAATAGTTGTAAAGAACACAGATCAGAAAATTACTAAAGATAATTAAGAATAAATACATGAACAGAGTTTTAGACAACGTTTTCCTCCCCAAGGACTATCTTTCAGAAAGATATCTTTCAGAAAACACCATGTGAGCTTACAAGACAGGGAAGGATACAATAATCCTACCCAGATATAACAACTCTGAACCATAACAATGACCAGTACAGCACAACAATCTTAATGGTGCAATAGTGGCAATAGTACATTGTTGAAAACCAACAGCTCTTTAGTTGGACATAAGACATGTTCAATAAGAGTTCCTTAGCACTGGAAACCTAGACAACTACCCAGGGCTACTAGTGAGGTCATGGACCTTAGAGGAGACCCTACAATTGCCACTTTACTAAACCAGCATGATTCCTAAATACATTCTAAATATTTACAAAAAAAAATCTCTACAAAAAAAAATCTCTTTGCAACACAAGGAGAAAGTTACAGAAAAACCCAACTGATCAAAATATGGAGAACAACCAACAGATCTACAAGACAACCACTGCACTTACAGCTCAGGGATTATTGAAGAGAGGGCAGAAAGACTGTAAAAGCCAAAGGAACAGAAAATTTGCTGTGAGATTATATCTTCTAGAAATGTCAGAGAGGCTACACACTTGTTGTTCATTAACAAGACCTGAACAATGATGACACCAATAAACTTGTTAACATGGTAGGGGGAGAGTTTGTGGGGTCTCAACCCTAACCAAGGCACTACAGACAATGGGGGAATGCTGAGAGTGGAAGAAATGATCTTCCCCAGGGTGGTCAGCTCTGAGGTCATATACATACAGGTAACAAACTGAACAAGCTGTAATACATTTAAGAACATAAACACACACAAACACACAAACAAACACACACACACACACATGACTTTGAACTTAAGACTCTTCTGGGTGTTGAGATTACAGGCCTGCATATAAGAAGTATAAAAACATTAAAAAAAAAAAAAAGACCATGAATTTGAGAGAGAGAGAGCAGACAAGTAGAGTGCATGGGAGAAGTCAGAGGAAAGAAAATGAAAGAGCAATGGTGTAATTATATTATAACTTCAAAAAATATTATAGCTGTGTAGTAGTAGCATGCCTTTAATCCTAACACCTGAGATATAGAGACAAGTAGATCTTTGTGAGATCAAGGCCAGCCTGGTGTACAGCAAGAGTTCCAGGACAGCCAGGGCTACAAATAGAGACCCTGTCTCCTCCTCTACCCCCCCCCCACATACACACCAAATTTATAAAAAAAAAAAGAATAGGTTTCTAGCTATTGATGTGATTTAGTCAGATTAATACCTAGAGGAGAGTCTAAATAAGCTTGAAACTTAAACAACATGACTTTTAAGAAATCTAAATCCACAATCTACAGAGCCAATCTTGGTTACATAAACCAACCTTTTCTGGGTGTGGCAAATTTTCACAATTTTCAGCTTCAGGCCCTAGAAGAGAACAGTATGCATTTATTCTAGTTTTATTCAACCAGGATTTTATAACAACAAAACTTGAGCTTTCTTAAATAACTCAACAGACATCTCAAACATTTTAAAAATATATCAATTTGTTGATGTAAACATTATTATTTAGAAAATGATAAAATTCTTTATTTCTTGGGCTGGGGATATAGCTCATCTGGTAGACTGCTTCCCTGGTGGACTTACTTATCCCTAGTAAGCCTTAAACCCTTAAACTAGAAGCGGTAGTGCAGCCCAGGCCTATAATCCAGTACTCAGGAGTGGGGTCAGAAGCTCAAAGCCATCCTAGACTGCCCAGTGACATTAAGACTAACCAGGGTTAAATCAGACACTTTGGTTCTTCATTTTTTAAGAAAGAGCTAGAGAAAGAGAGAGGAAGAAAGGGAGAGGGAGGGAGAAAAAACCAAGAGAAAGAAAGAAGGAAGGAAGGAAGGAAGGAAGGAAAGAAAGAAAGAAAGAAAGAAAGAAAGAAAGAAAGAAAGAAAGAA